ATGCTCTGGTCATCGTATGCTCTGATGGTGGCAGCGCGTTTCCCCTGCGCACCGACCCTGGAGCCTCACCAGCTTCAAAGAAATCTTGTTGGAACCACCGAACGCAGGGTCCACGAGGCTGCGTCCCACCAAAAACATGGCTTCTGCTGGGGCTGCTCGAGGTTATATTAGGAAGTGAGGGCTCAAACACTGCTTGCATCTGCTTGAGAAGATCTCTGTTCGTATGTGTGGCACATCCCTGAAATTAGGGAAAAAATCGTTCATCATTTATTTTCTCAACAAGGACGAACAATGACACACTTTCTTGGCTGCTGTGAAAGGGAAGAAGAGAGCGCAAATCCTGGGATGCCCGGTATGGACGTGACCATGTGGAGCAACATGGACGCTCGAGTCGGCGGTTAAGCTGAGTGCTTACGAACTAACACATGCCCGGGGTGGACATTGTCCTGGACTAGCTTTCTTGTAACAATGGGGTTTGGCAGGGCCCGCGCTGACAGCTGGTGCGAGGCTTTATCAGGCTGCCGGGTGATCGCAGCCCCTCCCAGAGGGCAGGATGAGCAAAGAGCCGCAGTAGAATTATTTTCCAGCGTAAATCCAGGCCTTTGTCTTACGCTGCCTTCAGGAAAAGGACAAGCGGCAGGGCAGCCAAAATCCAAGAAGCAAAACTCAGCGAAACTGCGTTTTGGGAAAGCAAGCTCTTGGCAGCAAATGCTACCACCAAAGCACATGTCCACCTGCTCCGCCCGCCAACATCCCCCGACTGGACTAATGACACCTCCCTTTCTGCGCAAAGGCATGGAAGCCCGGAGCTACCTTGTGAGGCAAAAGTCTTTAACATGGAGTTAGTTCACAATTTTACACGTCTCATCACACAGAACCACCTCGTCTCTCAAGGATGGATGATAGTGCGCATGCTTGTCAGTCTCATGGTCGTAAACCTGACAGCCCAGCTTGACAAAGAGCAGCGAAAAGGGAACACACAGCCACGGCCTCCTCCCAAGCCTGAGTCATGGATCGGATCTTCCCCGCAGAGAGCTCAAACGATTGCTTCTTAGAAGCCCGCATCATAGTCATCTTGATCAAGAACTCCCGTACCAAATTGTGCGTAACCGATGCCCTCCATGACTCACAAGTGCACCACGACAGCATGATAAAAACATGCCGTGCAAGACGGCCGGTTGACATGTATCAGCTCATTCATGCACGCAGGTGCCTGCTTTGCCGCTAGGTTTTTCCCACGAGCACTTGACATGTACAGCCGTCGGCTGTTGGGAACACCTAAGACTTGCGCAAGGAATCAAACTCAGAATGCACTTCACCGCGACGAGTACCGATGCTTGCAGCAAAGATACTGTTTGCTGAGCAAAACCTGGAACCCAAAGTGTAGCCAATGCCGTGGAGATCATTTTTGCCTGCACAGACTCTGTCACGAATTTATATCCTTGAGGGAGTCAAACATGCCAGGGAGTCTTCGCCACGGCCTTTCCAGCTCAGCTTCAAGAGCCGAACTGCTGGCAACCTCCCGAAGAAGGCAAGACGGCACAAAGCCCGTAAGGCATGACACATATGGCCGGGTGCTGGGAACATCTAGGAACCAGGCTTGCGGTCCAGTCAGTGTAGCAGCCAACCTGGGCTGGCACAAATGACACAAAGCAATCAGAAGCATGGCTCAAGTCCAGAAAGTTGCCTCTTGCCGGGCTGCTGCGGCCATTCCAGTCCTTGGACTCAAGGAACAAAAGTTCTGATCCAAACGCAACTGTTTCGAGCTTCAGACCAACCTCATCCACGAGTGTTTTGGCAGGCGTGTATCCTCACAACTGGATTCAGCTGAAAAGCAATCTGGCTACAAGAAGATTTCGAGAAGCCTGGAGGGGGAGGTGCACAGCCGTATGACCTGACTCTCATGCAGACAAGGTCGTGAACTTGACACTTGTGCGGAAGCGGACTCCTAAGCTTCCAGCTTCTTGGTCTTCGCACTCGATGATGTAGGAACAGGCTCAGGCGACAAGGCTTCCAATGGCGACACGAGGCTGCTTGCGCGCCTCGTTGCTCTGCACTCTGCTAAGGCATGCGGCAGACTTTGCAAACAAGGCACAGGAGGCGCGTTCCCAAACGATTGTCGCCAGCAAAAAGCCTCAAGTGCAGCTGCGCGGGCTCTCGAGATGCCACAACAGAAGAAAGGGCGCGCATCAAAAACCTGCCGTAGCAGCAAAAACAACAAGAAAAGGATGTTGCAGCAATCGATCTCTAATTCCACAACACTAACAGTGCTGGGATGCTGTAACTTTGCAGGCGCTTACAATGTACCTACAATGCTGTACCGAGCACTTGCGACTTGGTGCCATCATTACAGTACGGTATGGCAGGCCGACTCGTCAACAACCAAACCAAAGCCAAGGCAGACCACACATACCAATCAAATCTGTCCACGCACCACAGGCAGCTGAAGGCAAGCTGCAGCAAAGCAAATGCGGTAAATGCGGCGTATGCTGGCTAAGGACAGGATCAAGTCGCACCGGATTCAGTGTCATGGAGACATCGAAGGCTTAATAAGAACACAACAAATGCGACACAGATGGAACAACTCGCGACCATGTCCGGAACGCTTCAAAATACTCTTTGCATCAGGCATTTACATCACAACAACGCTGAAACTAAAACACCAAAACCATGTGTTCTGCAGCAACACTGGCTGCTGCATGAAATCCGCTGGATAGCACTAGAAAATGCCTCTGCTTCACCGGTAGCGCATGTAACTTCTTTGCAGAAAGATGCTGCCTCAGCGCATCAAGAAATCACAAAACTGGTAGGATCTTCAGCAGAAAATTTAAGAACGTGAAGCATGCTGCTAGGGTTTGGGAAGGATGTTTCCAAAAGCCCACATTAAGCAAATCACTCACGCAAGTGGTGGAGTGAATTTCTTCCGCTGCCACATCTCCCTGTCTCGAGATACATCATGGGAATTCGAAAAGTCTAATCCAAGGATACTGAAAACATCACTATGAGGTGCTTCACAGCCAAGAAGAAGGATAACAACAATCAAGTTCGTCTTGCGTGACGCGTAAACGCGTCTGGTATTTGTTTTTGAAGATGTATTCCACAGCGTTGCAAATAAAACTTCGCGAATCTGTGATTTACATGATTGCAATATGTTTTGCGAATCCAAAAGCTCGAGGTCATTCTGCTTTCATGATCTGATTACGAGTATCGATCAAACTAAATTTACTTGTCCACCCAGTATGCAACAAGTGAGTTCTGCAGCAGCGTTTACAAGGTCATTGCTGGTGCAGGTATGGGTTTGGCCTGCAGTGGTGATGTCTGTGATATCACGTTTTATGACACGGTGGAATCCAAAATTCTTCCTATTTTGGCTTCTTTTGATGTTCAGTGCTATTTGCGGTTCAAAGATGACATTCTTGTGATATTGAGCTGTGATCAACGACAACGGCTTTTGATTGATACGATGAGGCGTTTCAGCAAGCTTTGGAGTCTCAAGGTTGAGAGTATTCACCAGATGGAATGCCAGTTTTTAGACCTTCACCTTTCAAAAGGGAGTGGTTGGAGAAGCACTGGTGTTCTTGACGTCAGGGTCTTTCACAAGGATTCTTCCCAACAGCAAGTTCTCGCCGTTAGCAGCATGCATGCCCCCCATGTTCACAAGGCTTGGCTCGGGGGCATGGTCACGAGAGCTTTCCGTTTATGCAGTTCCAAGAAATCTGCTCTACTCGAAGTTGCTCATCTTAAACAGTTAGTGGGGGCTCGGATGGGAATTGAGTATGCTCAGCAGTTGATTTCTCATAAGATCCAGTTCGAAGGATTTGTTGGCCGGCTCATTCTGCCTTTTTACATTGGCAGTTTGGTTCGCTAGCCAGCGTTGTCAAACGTACCGCTGAGAAGCACCAGAACGCGATACGGAGCATTCTGGGGTGTGGCATTCACGTTCAGATTTGCTACAAATTACCTGCTCCTCATCTGCACACACGATTTTTTCGTATGGCATGTGATGATGCTCGTCGCACCATGTGTGCACCCGATCCGGGATGAACTGGTTGGATGGAGGGGATGGTGGTGGTGAAACCTTTTGTCCAACTTTTTTGGCCCATCGCGGCTACAGGTTTCACGTACATTCATGTGGCTGATAGCATCGTAATGTTGCGATTTGAGCCTCAAGTTGCACCCAGAGTGGTGAAGGGTTAAACCCCGTGTAGTCTCCTAAGGGCTACCTGGGTGCATGGATCCTTGAGGTGGAGCAAGAAAGTAATCTGTGCCTTGAGAAGCTGTTCTGACACACTTACCTTTGGTCCACGCACCGCAGGCAGCTGAAAGCAAGCTGCAGCAAAGCAAATGCGGTAAATGCGGCGTATGCTGGCTAAGGACAGGATCAAGTCGCACCGGATTCAGTATCATGGAGACATCGAAGGCTTCATAAGAACACAACAAATGCGACACAGATGGAACAACTCGCGACCATGTCCGGAACGCTTCAAAATACTCTTTGCATCAAGCATTTACATCACAACAACGCTGAAACTGAAACACCAAAACCATGTGTTCTGCAGCAACACTGGCTGCTGCATGAAATCCGCTGGATAGCACTAGAAAACGCCTCTGCTTCACCGGTAGCGCATGTAACTTCTTTGCAGAAAGATGCTGCCTCAGCGCATCAAGAAATCACAAAACTGGTAGGATCTTCAGCAGAAAATTTAAGAACGTGAAGCATGCTGCTAGGGTTTGGGAAGGATGTTTCCAAAAGCCCACATTAAGCAAATCACTCACGCAAGTGGTGGAGTGAATTTCTTCCATAGATGGTGAGGATGGGCTAGAAACCCAGTGAGCACACGATTTCCATACTTGTTCGGGGAAGAATTTCGTTCGATGTGTAGGCTAGTTTCGTACCGAGGCTTCTGGTCATCGATGCGCTTTGGCTGTAGAGGTTTGAGTGGTCTTGTGCCGCACCCCCAGCCAGCGCAACGTGTTGTACACTTCTCGAAGCTCATGCCTCGTGCAGGACTGCGTGCAATCCCGCGCCGCAAAGGGCCGCTGATGTGGCTTTTTTGGATCCTTTTCTGCGACATGTGACGCCTGGAAGTTAAGTCAGAACCACACGGAATGGCAGGAATGCATGCATGCATGCATGCATGCATGCATGCATGCATGCATGCATGCTTGCTTCCCCCGCTGCATAGATGCCTGTTTTCACCATGGTGCTGTGTTTTGTGCTTGTTGGGAAAGCTCGTGGTTCGTGCACGCAAAAGCCAGCTTTTAGTTTTTTCTATACGGCACGAAGTTTCGGCAGCAAAGAAGCGCACAGCCCTTCACATGGTCCTCGCGGTCCTCGCAGGCAAACTTCACAGTTGCCCTTTCAGACTGCTTGGAACGTCATCATGGCTTTCTTGCTGATATGGTTTTAGCATGGATGCTCTGGTCACCCAGATGCAGCCCGGCATTGACATCATTCTGGTTCCGGTACGGATGCGCTGGTCATCGAATGCGGCTGGGCATGGATGTGATTATGCTTGGGGCATGGATGCTTTGCTCATCAACCGCAGTCGGGCATGGCCATCGTTATGTTTTGGGCAAGGATGCTTAAGTCAACGATCGCAGTCACGCATGGACATGAATTTGATTTTTTTGCGTTGGATGCTCTGGTCACTAGTTGGCATGGACGTTGTTATGTTTTGGGCATGGATGCTAAGCTCATCGGGCATGGATGCCATTCTGGTTTGAAGCTTTGATACTCCGGCACTAGATGCAGTTAGGAATGGACGTTGTGGCGCTTTGGCAATGCAGCCATGGTCACCAAAGTCAGACACGGATGTTATCACGGCTTGGAAACAGATGCTCTGGCAACCGAGCGCTCAAAAAAGCAAGCATCTGAAAAGTTTACCCAAGTGCTGGGCTCTGCTTCTAAGTGACGAGGAAGTCCATTCGGCAATCCTGCTGAACCTGGGACAGACAATCACACAGCTCTCCAGCATGGCTGTTCCCCTACTAGTACGAGGCCAACATTCCCTTTTGTTCTTTCTTTCTTGTACGAAGGCGTTGGAGAGGGCTAGCGGCTAGAAGCCATTTCCTTAAATCCCACACCCCTGTTGGTCGGAATCGAACAAATACCACCACAAAGATTGGGAACCACATGGCCCATCTTGTGCCACCTTGCAGGATAATGGGTGGAGTTGTTTTTCTTCCCTTCATTTTTGTCCTTCCTTGCTTCCCTTTTGGGAGGAAGCTTCACGCAACAGCTCGGTGTCGAGGCAAAAAGTGAGGACACTTCACGCCGGAGCTTGCATTTCAGCAAAAATGAGAACGCTCCCCACATTTCAGCAAAAATGAAAGGACTCCCCACACCAGTGCTAGCTTTTGCGCAGAGAAAGTGAGGGCGCTCCACAATTTGGAAGAGAGATGTGAGGACTCGACTTCCCCCCCAGGTCTGTAGTACTAGAAACAACTGTAATGAGAGAAGTATGAATTATAGCAATGAGAACATGACTGAGACAACCAATAGCAAAACGCTCCACGCCAGTGCTCGATTTCCCGGCTTAGTAGCAATAGGAAGCGTAGCAGTCATAGCACACAGACAAATACTAAAAAGAACATTTTACAGTACATGAGTACTAGTAATAATAGAACAATAATAACCGCCAAACCATAACAACAATGATAGTACATCGATGAAAATGATAAAACAGTACGGATAGTAATAAAAAACTATTGACAATGGCAATGCTGCTGATAATAGGAATAAAAGCAATAGTACTCGTAATACTAAATAGTAAAAATGGAAATCATGGTAGTAATCGCAACCATTGTAATACTAGTCTTTTTAGGCTTAGTCACAATGGTGTTTAAAAAGATTTGAAATACTAACAATAAGAATACAAATTTAAAAGAAAAAAAAAGAAAGCAATAGTCAGAATACAATAAAGGAAATGATAATGGTAATCGCACTAATGGTAATGATAGTAACAACCGTAGTAATAGTATTCGTTGTCATAATAATTGAAGTCCTAGTCATCAAAGTAGTAACAACAATGAAAAGCATAACGATCATTGCAATGACCGTACAAATATATTGATCATAGGTAGTAAAATAGTGAGAATATGATACATGTAAAACGATACTTAGAATTGTAACTACAATGTTACAATTAAAAACAAAAAGAATACCAACAAATGCGGAAAGTAATCATACAGCCTCTAATAGTACTAATAAAACAACAGCGGTCTTGCAGCAATTCTTGCAGGGTTGCACGGCTGAGAAAGACGGGAGGAATCGGACGAGAGAGCCCCCCGATTTGCGAAGACAAGGCTCGTAGACCAGGTCTTAAAAGGATAAATATGGGTCTTGCAGCAATTCCTGCAGGGTTGCTGCACATCTAAAAAAGAGGAGCGGCTTGGGGGGGTTGCAGCCCTCCCCATCTGCAAACCCAATGCTAAGGCCAAAAAAAAGGGAAGAACAAGAACAAACAAAGGGAAGAATAAAGTGCACCCTCCCAGGATAGTCACTCCGCTACAGTAACCATCTCTCTCTCAAGGACCCTTTGTTGTTGTTGTTCACATCACGAAATCTCTGATCCAAAAGATGCTCAGCTGCGTCGACGTGTGTATAGGCTGTGAGGGCTTAAAGTCTGCTAGTATTGAACTGTGCTTAGTGCACAAGCGCTGTCAAGGCGGTTGACAGGCCGAATGCTTGGGCAAAAAATCTGTTGCTCCTGCGTGGGCACAAACACCAAGTACATTGCATACTTGTTCAACTCAGCTCGTCTTCACGTCTGAGTTGGACATGGCGACGCTTGCTCAAGACCACCTGCATGCAGGATGTCCTAATGCCACATCCAGCCGTTCTCAGTGGGATCGCAGCGGGTTTTGGATGCTTGGTAGTTTTTGCGGTTGATTGGCTCACCCTGCTGAAAAAACAACAAACTCCATCTTGGCCACCTGCTGTTTGGCGCTTGCCCTTGTGAGTTTTCAAACTCACTGCCTCAGCAGGCTCTGCAGCAATGTGATAAGTCATACGGTCCAGCAAAACAAAGTCAGCATTTCTCAGACAAAGCACGAGCTGCGATTGTCTTTCTGGAAGAACGATGGTCACGCAAATCCTGAGTGTGCTGGACACTTGACGTTACCTGAAGCTTTGTACGCAGCGAATGCAGCGGGCAGCCTCCTCATCCATGAAATCCTCCACCTGCAGTGCTGCTTCGGCATGGCGCTTGGAACGGCCTGGGTAGTGTTCACCGTGAGTCATGTAGAGCTGGCTGCTTGCCAAGAACGCGGCTGGAGCTGAAGGACGCGGGCTCCCAGCCCTCTTTGCTTCCTACTGTTCCTTGGTAATCTGCAGAATTAATCCTGCTGAGCATCTAGCTTGAGCCCCAGACCCCAGTAGCCAGCACTGAAGCCTCCCTCAAAGGCACCATAAAAGGTTCGCTCACCACGAGCCTTTCCAAATGAGGGAACCCCTTGCCAAACATAGAATGCGTAAACATTCGGGCCTTCGCAACGGTCCCATCCGGACGTTTAACCTCGACATAGTCCTCCTGCAATGGGCGATATGTCTCAACACTGCAGATTAAAGGCTTGAAGGTACTATTGGAAATTTCTTGAGCGCACCCTCTTGGAGCGCTTGCCCAAGTCATCCAACTCGTCCACATCATACCTGCACTCAACTGCAAAAAAAAACTTCCTAGGCAGCCGTCTCATACACACAAGCTGATCAACACGCACGGCATGTAACCCTGTATCTGCGCCCCTGGTGACGCATCTATGGTGCTCGGCCTGATGTTGCTGAAGCCCTGAGACACTATCTGTCTGTTGTGGGCCATTTGTGAGAAGCAGCGCAGCAGAACTGCATTTGACTTTCCAATTCCCGCACAGATTTCACCTGGTCAACCAGGTGATCTTCTACCCAGGAGTCAACATTGAGGTCGGATTCTCAAAGGGCAGGTCCAACATGGTCAAAACAAGCACGTGCACACTTCAGTCAAAAAAATGTAGCTGCTCACTACAGAGCAAGACATCCACTGGATTCACACTAAAGCAGGGCACCTGGCAACAGCCTGCCCCAGGAAGGACTTCGCACCTGAGAATGATTTCGCAACAAGGCAAACAACTGCGTTCCTTCAAGAATGCGCTTCTGAGGATCAACCCTCCGAGCGACTACGACGCATTCGCCGAGGTCAGGATGCATTGCTGACAAAGTTGGCTACGAATTGCACGCTTCTACATGCCTGCAGCGGCCATCAAAAAAATTGACACTTGAGTACAACCCCTCATATGTTCAGGGTTCTGCACGGGTGTTCGAGCACAGTTTGTGTTGCTTATGCTGGGGAGGCTGACGGCTGGCTGACGGCTGGCTGACGGCTTGATGCTGAGTTGGGTCCAAGGGTTGGGCCAAGCCTTTCAGCCAAAAAATCGCATCAAAGATCATCGGAGAAAGCCCTCTTCCCAGCCGAGGTCAAGTGGGGGCCTTGGAGTTTGAGGTGTTGAGCTGTGGCACGTATGGCCCCCAATTTGGGATCCATATAGTTTGCCGGTGAGAGGGCCATGCTTGGGACCCAAACAAGAGCTAGGAGCTCGAACTCACAGCTGGGACAGAACCTGTGACTCACCTATTTTGGCATGAGAGCTGGTATGGTTTCTGTGAAACAGGCACTCGTTGGCTGTAGCGACTCACCACTCCGTGACCTGAGACAAAGTCAAATTGATGCCTCAAACCGCTTCGTCCCAGCGTCAAATGGAAGTAGTCGGCTTTGGGTCCTTGGCCGTCCATCCGCCCGATCCGCTTCCCACTTGGACGCTTCCCGGAGCTGGTGTCGATGGTAATCTCTTTGGAGCAGCCTCCTCAGCACCCGACAAAATCTTCCACACACTGTGTCACTTGCGCCCTGCAAGTTGCGAAACGAGATCCTTCTTTTTGGGCTTTCCCTTGCGTTTCTGACTCCTGCAATCATTCAATCATTGAGACGTTGCTGGCAAGCTCTCAGCGGCACTACCTGCTCCGACTTCTTCTCTCCAGGGCTGCACGTCTTCTTCGGATGCTGCTGCTGTCCGTGCTGCAATCCTCAGGCTCTTTCAAAAACGACGACATGAAAGCTAACAACTCCAAAGGGTCTTGGCACTTCGTGCTGCACTTCTACTTCTTGGCCTCACAGCAACACAGAAGAGCATGAGCATCATAGACATCTCATCGTCTTGGCACGTCCCCTATGCGCCCTCTTGTCGCACCTCTCTTCTGGACTCTGCTCATCTGTGTCAGAATTGCCAACATATTTTTCGTCGGCGCCTTTACGGCATCTGCCCAAAGTTGACAGAACTCTAATGAAAACTTACAAACACCGCAGTCAAGAGGCTCTTTTTCTTGCCGCCATCCATCAGAGTCTTGGCCAACTTGCATAATGTAGCCGAGGGCTGGTGTGACATCCTAAAACGGATTCGCTGCAAGACTCTGACACACTACCTGAAGACGTGTGATGACGTGTGGAATGAATAATTCAACACGGTCTCAATAAGGTTTTCTCGAGATGAGCCATGACCTCCTCTACGTCGTCAGCCCGCTTCTCAGCAATCTCACGCAGCTTCGACTTGGCATCCTGCAAGAATGCGGATTTGCCTGCGCAACCAGAGAAATTGAAGGAAGCAATTGCAGAATCTCCTTGTCCAGCTTGAACCTGTTCTCGGTCATGATCAGAAGAGATGCTTGCTTCGGTATCGTCACACGAATGCACTTCCACAGCTGCCACCTTGACCCAAAGCCTTGCTTACAAACCGGCCTCTGCGCCAAAGCCTTCGCGGAAGTCACGTCCTAAGAAGGGTATGATGAAATGTCCAGAATCCAAAGCTCATGCTGAGTTGAACCTTCTGATGAGCGCTCAGATGCGCTCAGGTCTCAGGCACAAGCTGGAATTTGCTTCAACTCTCCTTGCTGCAGGAAACTGCAATTTTCTTATTGGGTTCTCCGCAAGGACCTTCAAGCAGCTTGCCAATCAGAAGGGTTGCGGTTGCCGATGGCCTGCAGATGCAAAATCACTTCAAGTTGAGGGTGAGGGAAGAATGAGAAAAACTGAGGAGGAGAAAAGTTGTTTCGCAGCTTCTGAACAGGAGATGAGCTGTCGCTGTGACCACTTGTTCAAGAGCAACTTCGAAGTGGCATCAACGTTCCGGCTTGTCTAAGTACTCGTTGCTGACCGACATTTGCCTCAAGCCGCTGGACTGCTCCAAGTCACATGTCGTGCCAGTCTGGGACTAGTAGACGCCCCGACCATAACTGGCTACATATGGCTACCCTAATGTTCGGTCCACCAGGCTTGTTGGCTAGAGATGCAAAAGTGATGCGAAAGTTTCAAACAACTAAAACTCACGTGCTTCAGACAGCAGGGGCCTCTTGCAGAGGCTCAAGTGCTGTTCCAGGCGGTTGAAGTCCTCTTGTTGAGTCCTCTTTCGACGTACCCTGAGGCCGCAAAATGTCATGAGCATAACATTTGTCCCCTAGCTGCCTTCTTGCAAGCCTCCCGGAAACTTGTATCCCAAACAGCTCCGATGGACTTTTCAGACTGCTTTGGTCTCTTTGATGTGGCTTGCAAGACGGGCAGTAGAAGGCATGGGCAACTTCACAGCCTCAGTTCCGTCAGCCTGGAAACCACACGTGTGTCCTTGGATGACAAATGCTTAAGGCCCGCATGGAGAATCCAAAGCTGAAGGTTTCTGAGCCAGGCACCAAGTTGTACCTAGTGGCCAGCCGCTCGATGTTGCGATCCGGCTTCACCTCAAAAACAGCCCTACGGCAGAATTTGGCAGAGCTGCGTTTTGGCGTTGGCCTTGCCAACAAATTGCCCACACTCCATCTCGCCCAGCTTGGCAACAAGAAGCCCTGGCAACGTCAATCAAACTCAAAACAGTGTGCGAGGCGCTCAAATAGGTTCGCCAGGCCTGTGGGACTTCGAGCCTGCTCTAAAACTTCGTACAGCTTGGCCAGATCCTCCAGACAATGGTAGCTTTTCTAAAGCTCAGATGTACATGAATGTGAGCTTTCACCATCCTGCTCTTTCGTGTCTCTGCGCCTTCCTGGTAGGGTGGCACATGAAAGGCCGGTGATGAAGCTATCAAGGGAGCCAAGGTGCTCATCAGCTCATCAAGCCGCACGAGCCATCTGTCTTCAATGTTGAAATGGTCTCCCAGTTTTCCTGAGATCGAACGTGTCCAGCCCGAACATGAAGAGTCTCTGCAGGCAGAGAGCTGACGTCTGCATCCATGTCCCAAGGCTTGTCTTCCCTTTTGCCTGGAACCTCTGGTTCTGATCCTCAGATGTTGCATCGGATTCTTGCATTAACACAAGTCTCACTGTTTCGAATCAGCTCTGAGCTGACGATGTCTTGGAACCCTGAAAAAACAGTTTGGCAAGATCAAGAAAAACTAGCCTGTCAAGCTTAGCCAGCTGGCTCTGGGGTGGAGATTCGGATCGCTTGGCATGGCTGGAATTGCTGGCATTGCTGGCATTGCTGGCATTGCCGGCATTGCTGGCATTGCTTGCAGCTGCCATAGCCCCAGCCATCATCATCATCCTTGCAAATGCTCGACTCCCTAACAACAAGATGACAACAATCAATTTGGCAAGCATTGCGTACAAGGCACATGGGGTTTGGCATCATAGGCATTCCTTGAAGAACAACTGCTGAACTGACAGCACAAACATGTCCTGCAGCTATGTACCAAACTCTCGAGAGAAAACTTTCGGCAAAGAGACCCATCATCGGCATGCCCATTCCCATTCCCATCATTGGCATGCTCATGGATGGCATACTGGCCATACCTGTGGGCAGAGTCTGAAACCATGGAGGCTTAATGGAGGCTTGCGCTTAAAAAAAGGCATACACCAATCTCTAATACTGGGATGCCTGATTTATCAAGTCTTTGCATTTCCTCCTTTCCACACTGTCCGGGGGCATCAAAAGCTGCGCCAGAAACACGTGGTGTTTTTGCTCGTGTCTGTTTTGATATGTTCAATGCCTCTCCATGTTGCTGCAGCGCCTGTCTTCATGAAGCAATTTGCAAACATGGGCCTTCACGCATGTGTTTATCGTCGACTGCCTGTATCTCCCATCGCCCCATCGCAAATAAACATTCTTTCCGAGCAACTTCCAACCAAGAGCAGAAATGCCGCGCCTCCAGGCGCTGTAGGAACGCCAGGCATACCTACGCTCACAATGATCGTACATCATGGAAAACACATCTGCCACTCATTTTGCCTTGTCCCGCGCAGCCCGCATTAGCGCCCTGCATTTGTTGCTGCCTGCAATTTTGCGGCACACCAAGCCACAGAGATCAAAAACAGAAGTGGACGCCATGAGCAAAACAAGCAGCGGCCTTTCACTTGAAAGGCATCATTGGTGGGAGAGCGCTGCACCAAACTATGAACACACAACAGCTTATCTTTGGCATTTGTGTTGCTGAGGCTCAACAACCAATCATCTTGCATCTGTACTTTTTCGCAGGACTAATTTTTTGTTGCTTGCCATAACACGTTTTGATGCCAAATGGCTGCATCGCAATTCTGCAAATCTTGCATCTCGACGGCCAGTAGTTTTCAAAAACAATACGCATCATGGTCATGCACCCGCCGGGCTTTTGTTTGGAAGTGTGTTGTGCTGGATTTCAACAGTTGTTGGTTGAAAAATAGAAATATACTTCTGCATCTTTGATTATTTCCGCTGTGTTGGATGATTTTGGACGATTGCGTCAACTGACACTTTACGTTCCTTGTACCTCGTAGGACTGCATTGTACTATCCGCCAACAATAAAAAAAGGACCCAGGGACCACAAAAACAAAAACATCCTTGCGGCCGTTCGTCTGATAGACGTAGCTGTCTGCACTAATTGTATCAATTCCACGTGTGCACACTGCTTTGCGCCAGCTTTATCATTTCAGATTCTACAAATTTTTAAGTTACCCCAAGGAATTTGGCTTAGTTGAACAGAACGTCAGCGAAAACAACAGCACCCTTCCCTCAGACTCCCTCCCCATATGCGTGAACACGTGATATTAATCAACACTCTATGTTCTAATTTGGGCAAATACCGGGCAACTTATGCAATTATATACTCATTGGATCGAATTTTAACGTTTCCCTGAGAGGAAACGATGTTTCAACATCTTACCGCTGCGTAAGCAATATACTATCTTAGCCAGATTGGCTGATGCAATCACTCCGAACGCAACGCTGTTTTGACATGGGGACTTCGAACTTATCGATGCCCAGCTTGGCTCGGGCTAAGGGCTGTGGGCAGCCATGTACACATGTAGGATTGAGAACGGCCGTGGGCCGAGTAATTTGCACGTCAGTGCGCACAAGCGGACATGAGTTTTAACTGCTCCCATGGGCGGGTCGACAACGGACGTTCCCATCCACTCCCCCTGGAGTGCCGAGTGGTTGCACTGCTCCTGTCCAAGACCTACCACAGCAAGCAGCAGAGTGCGGCAGCATTTTTTCCCCTTTGGGTTGCTTTGAGTCAAAGTGTTCAGGGGGCTTGCAGGCTTCAAGTTCACTGGCATTCTGCAGTAAAAATTCCAAGTTGTGCTTGCATCCAAATATATGTAAATTTATTCAGGCGGACTCAAGTACGTAAGTGGAAAATAATCCATATAAAAGATCTTTCAGATTCAACTCAAGCTGACTGCACATCATCTTTTTCAATGCCTGATTTTTGCAGAGGCGCAGAAGTACTGGGGGCTGAACATCCGGACCGCTGTGGGCGATCTGAACAGCCAAAATCCTCCCTCTTCCATATGTACACGGACCAAGATGTCCAGTGCGCTTAGCTAGTTAGGCAGCTACGGCTCGGCTGAGCCCTGTCTTACACTACGCAAGCAGCTGGCACAGTGCCAGCTGCACACGATCCGTGTGGATTAGCAAAAGGGCGCTGGCAAGGCACGTGAGGGTACGCACGCCATATAGCATGCTTTCAAGAGCAGACTCAAGTTTGTGTCGTTTGCAAGCAAGAGATGCTGGTGTTATCCCCCAACCCTGGGCGGGAGGCCAGGCAGGCCCACGCGAGCAGTATGCCAAGGAGAAAAGTGACGCAACACACCCATACCCAAAACTGAAGCGCGAGAAGGCTGGTGAGGAATGACACGTCTCATCCAAGCCCTTTGGTATTGGAAGAATAAGGATTCTTCAATGCAGTTGACCGCCATTCCTTGATGGCTAACTAATTGCGGGCTTAGCTGGGGAAGAAGCATCCCAGCCAATTGTTTCGGTGCCTAAGAGAAGGATTTCTCCTTGTGCAAGGGTGCAACCCCGGGATTAAGTGCCGAAAGACCCCCAAACTGGGTGGGAAAATTTTTGATCCTCGACGCAAGCACAACTTGAGCCAAGGCATTCGCACAAGGGATCTCGCAAATTGGACATTTCTTGCAAAACTCAGGTGGACACGTCCACAAAACGTTCTGCAGTAAAAATTCCAAGTTGCGCTTGCATCCAAATATATGTAAATTTATTCAGGCGGACTCACGTAAGTGGAAAATAATCCATATAAAAAATCTTTCGGACTCAACTCAAACTGACTGCACATCATCTTTTTCAATGCCTGATTTCTGCAGAGACACAAAAGTACTGGGGCCTGAACATCCGGACCGCTGTGGGCGATCTGAACAGCCAAGATGGAATTGCCCTTGGCGGGCGATTAAGCTCTTGCAAAAACCATCCTTACCTATGCCCTTGAGTACAACACGCGAATCCCTGGGATGCGTACAAGTGCCCGCCCTTTCTGCCAGCAGCTTAAAGCTAGCCCCCAACAACCATGTCTTCAACCAGTCGGGCCCAAAGCCGCAAACTAGGAGTGGAATAAGCCATCCCTCGACACAAGGCTCCTCCCAGCTCATAGCACCTGCAGGGCCTCCGGCTGAGTGGGCAACGCTCAAGCAATAAGGATACACTCTTTAACTGCCCTGGGCAGGGCATTCGGAAGGTTAACCGTCATGGTCAGTAACTCCCCCTCGACCGGGGGATTTGCCAAGGACGTGAGCTGGGGGGTATCCGTAATAGGCATGAACAGCAACTACAACGCCATGGGGAGCATGAATGGTTATTCTAATGCATGGGTGAACGCAGTGGGGTTCCTGGAGCTTTTGGCCATCATAAGTATGGTAGAGTTGACGGAGAGTCGCAGCCCCTTGCTCAGTCGCATAAATTGCGCAGGCTCCTGCTACCCCATAAACTACACGCCTACCTGATGCAGCTTTGGATGCAGTATGGATTTCTTCGATGGCTTGCTCCAACGAAAGGCCTTGCAGGAAGTAAGGCTGTCCAGTATAGGGCCTCCCTTTCCAAACACCACTCAGAAAGGCAAGGAGCTCATTCTGGACACTGATTTCTGCAGTGTCTGCACCACTAAGGTTGTTTGCGGTTTGCCCATGACTGCAATTCGTTCTAGAGAGCGGAGCTCCGCCTATCATAACACGCCTCTGTCCAGGAAGTTGATAAAATGCGGCGGCGTGACCCTCACGCTGTAAAGTGAAGTAAGCAAGATATTTGACAAGGTGCAGCCCATAAGCCTCGGTGAAATTCACAGCTGCAGCGAGGAGATCGCCCTGTCCACTCTCAGGGCTTGCAGGAACTAATTCATGTTGAAGATCCTGAACGGGCGATACTTCTACAGTGCTAATAATTACCTGGACATTGTGGGGCTCGCATGTGATGAGCACGGGTGTGCTAGAGCCAGTGCGCGGGGTCCAGAGCTTGATGGTTTTACCGCTGTCACTTGCACCTGTAACAGCGAAAATGCGGGGAAACAGCCCAGTAGAGTAGCATATAATCTTGAGCACTGTAGGGAGTTGCTCAACAGCAAGCTCAGAATCCTCAAAGCAGTACTTGTCGTGCCCATTTATCGACTTAATATCCTGGACGAGGTTCCTCAATACTTGTCGAATAGGGCCAAAGTATCGCCGAGCGTGCTCACTGAACTGGAAACCAGGTAGGATAGGCGTGGCGATCTTGCGACGGCCGGGTTCGCAAGGAAATGTTCTGCGAGGGTGGGCAACAGTTAGACAGGCAGGCAGCGAGATTTCACTCGGGAGAGAGATATCGTTCCAATATCGGATGTCCTGAAGTTCTTCAGGTTGAAATGGGTAATTAGCAACGCGGGGAAGAAGGCCATAATGGCCACTGCACTCGACTGAGTTGGTGACAGTGACGAGAATTTGGTTCCAAGCCTCATGAAAATCAGGCAGGGCAGTTAGCTTCCAAGGGGGACAGAGGTCAGGGCGATCACTTGCGACCTGGCATAAATCCCTATGGTACGTCCCCCGATTTGCGACCTAAGGATAGAGGGCAGGAAACAGTTCCCTACAGCCAACAGCGTCAATAATTTGCCGGTTGCGTTGAAAAACAGCCAAAACTAAGAGTCAAAACTAAGCTGGCTACATTCTCGCTTTTTCCTCTGAGCATTCAGGGGTCTTGAGCCTCCATGGGCAACATGCAAACTTGTGTTTCCTGTTAGGGAAATCTTTACAAACTGACACTCCTATACATGTGTGCTCAGTACACTCCTGTGGGACATGAAGGTTCAACACCCCGCCTCAAAATAGAGCCTGAAACTAATTACTTCCTGTGACACAAGTGTGGTGAGCGAGTACCAGTCTCGTCCCATTGGCACAGTCTATGTGCTCTTCTTTCTCCTTTCTTGTGACACAAGCTTCTTTGGACTGCCTCCGACCTTCTCTGGTCTAGTCCTTCCTTGGAGTGAAACCTTTACAAGTGCTTTGTAAAACTTCCTGAGAAAACGTGTGACTATCATAGGCGTATTGGATTCGTACGACGTTCCAAAGACTTCGTGGTAAAACATGCAAAAGCTTTGGAGCACTGAAATTCCTGGTAAGGACTTGCAAGAGGCTATATATAACTTCCTGCACACAAAAACTCTGTAGTACTTCTTGTGACGTGTGTACTTGGAAAACGTTGCCATGACATAATTCCTGAAATCATGGAGCTTGTTCACATACTGCCTGTGAAAGCACTTTTAGCTTTCACCATCTTGGTCATCTTTTCCACCGCCTTGATGGTTCTTCCACCAATCCTCTGTGTCCTGACACTGGTCCTGGGAATTGTAATTGCACCATTCCTGGTACTGAGGATCTTCCCAACTTGAGCTTGCGCTCTGGCAGGTAGGTTGCTGCCAACCTGAGTTGTTGCCATCATTCCAGAGATTTTTTCCATTTCCGAACGCAGCAACAGTAGTCTG